ATCAATCAAATTTAACTTGAACAATTGATAAATGGTTGAAAATTTAATTTGCTCTGGGTTTACTTATGATTAAATCTTGAACTATCTCGCTGTCAATAATCATAGCAACTCTAAGGCGAACACATTTACACATTTTCGTGAACTCCTCCTCAAATTGTTGCATTAGGACGCGATATTTTTCTTAAAATAATATTGCCAAACATACTCGCTTCAAACTTTGGCATTTTACTTATGACAAATATTTCTGATGAATGACACTATTTCGATATGTTTTGGACGACTTACCGGTATACACTTTCATATATCAATTTCTATACCGCTAAAATTAAATATCAGAGACAATATAAGTGCAACATATCGTTTATGCAACATATAATATATAGATTACAGTGATATACATATGTTACTTCTGAGATTCAGAAATGTTTTGAAGACGGGGGATGGTGAGACATCAGCAGTAAGATCAGAGGCGTAGTAATAGAGGGGTTAATGTCCACACCACCACTTTTGAAAAGGGGGCGGTCAAGAGTATCTTTGTGCCCCTTCCTCCATATTTTTTTACCTGAGTAAATATCTCCCGAAAATAATGGCGAATACTCGTAGTTGGAACATCAAATCTATTTTTTTTTCTTTTTACTTGTCAAATATTTTACTTGGTTTACCCCCCCCCCCCCCTTGAACTTTGTGACTTAGCTTATGCATATTGTCCACGATAATGAGGAATGGTGAAGCAAAAATGATATTACATCCTTTTAAGTAATAAGACGTTAAATCTGATCTGTTGTTATTGACATTTTATCTAATATTCTGACATGGTTCACTGTTTATATTTTTTTTCGGGGGGGGGGGGTCCAAGTTGTGGAGATTCACGGAGACCTATTTGAGATTCACGTCTATTTGGCGGATCCTATATGTTTACCACATAGTGTCAGAACGTCAAACCAGAGTTTACAAAACAAAAAAAAAGTTTACAAAGCCAGTTCACTTTTATAATCTTTTTACTTAGGATTGATCAACGAATAGGCCTAATACTAAATATGTACATTTATATTATTATTAATACAACATTGAAGCAATGTCGTTAATTATTTTCCTCATCACAATATTTATTATGTATACTTTACAAGCATATAATTTTTATTTCAAAAAGAGATTGATGATTTTTTTTTGGGGGGGGGGGGGTAATAAATAGAGGATATTCAATGTTTTGTAATTGATATGCAATTTATTTCACGAGTGGGACAGGAATTTTTTTTTATATTTTCATGAGTGCGAAGCACGAGTGAAAATATCAAAAATCCTGTCTCAACATACAATACACATTTCTTGGCAAAATTTATGCTTGAAATACACCTTAAGTAATGCTTATCATATTGTAAACTTTAGATATTAAACTTTCATTCTATACCCAAAAAGGATCACATGTCAACTGTTTTTACTAATGCTGACCTTCACCTTTTATTGTGGCTTCCGTAGAATAAAGAGCTCCAAAAGTTTTTTTAATTCTACCACATTGATAATAACGCAAAAATTACATATTGTAATTTAAGATTCCATGCCAAATTGGTAAATTAAAATGTTTCTTTCTTTTAATAAACAGAAGAAATATATAAATTATTAAGTGATAAGTACAGTATTAGTTCTTGATATTCATCATATTTATTATTGAGGGGAAGGAGGGATTGATGATAAAAACTACGTGAATTTAGTTTTTTGTCAGACGTTGAATTTTGATCTTGCCCCTTTAAGACGATAAAATTGAACTGGTATTCCTTGTTAACAGGCAAGGAATTATCAAAATATGATCGTTAAAGCCTAACAAATGGTTTCATATCCACATGATTTATTCGGAATATTTATAATGGGATTATTTCTATGCATTTTTTATTGCGACAAATATTACGCAAACATTATTATAATTTTAACAAATTCAAGAAAGCTTGAACAGGGCAGTTAAATCAGCCAGAGTATATCATTTTTTTCTGATTTCCTTGTACAAGTTGACAAAATTTTGATGTTATATACATTCCATTTGAAGATGACACTAATTCTATTTTTCAATTTTAAGGTATAACACAACAACATGAGGCGGTCACAAGTTTCCGTATATTTGTCTTCGGTCTTTCCAATAAACAATACTAATCAAAGGCATAACACAAAAAAACTAGTATGCTGTTCCATAAAATCTTTATCACGCACACTTCAAACAAATTTGATCGACTTGCTTCTGTATATTTCCTATAAATAATGGTCTATTCTTTACTTAGATATATCAATTCTAGATCAATTTTTATCTCGTTATAACGAGATAATTATCTCGTAATAACGAGATTATAACGAGATACTAATTCGTTATAACGAGATAACTAACTCGTTATAACGAGATAACTAACTCGTTATAACGAGATACTACATGTAACTCGTTATAACGAGATAACTAACTCGTTATAACGAGATAACTAACTCGTTATAACGAGATAACTAACTCGTTATAACGAGATACTAACTCGTTATAACGAGATAACTAACTCGTTATAACGAGATAATTTTCTCGTTATAACGAGATAACTAACTCGTTATAACGAGATAACTAACTCGTTATAACGAGATAACTAACTCGTTATAACGAGATAACTAACTCGTTATAACGAGATAATTATCTCGTTATAACGAGATAACTAACTCGTTATAACGAGATATTAACTCGTTATAACGAGATACTAACTCGTTATAACGAGATACAAGCTCGTTATTACGAGATAATTATCTCGTTATAACGAGATAAATATTTTTTTGTCTTGTCAAAAATGAGCCTATCCGGCTTTCGTATATAAGCACATTATCATATGTAAAAATATTTATTTTGTTGACGTGTGAAGTTTCATTCCATTCGATTTAATAGAAATCAATTTACTTTATTTTAAAATCAACATGTTTGATAACCCCGGCGCAAACTAAACAACATTATAACGTCAAAAATATAGCGTCATGAGGTTCTCAAAATATTCTCTCTATACATTTCACACTGTCTGGTCCAATATCTGCTCATTTAAAACGTGTCTCTATCAATTGAAATTCATTTTGTTAACAATTGTTCCAGTAGCGTAATTTTGATTGTCAATGTTTTCTTTTTTACCGCTTAACCATGCTTTCACAAGACCAGCAACCGTGAAACGTCTTTTTCTTTCCAAGACCTTACTACTCGTAACTGAACGTTTTGGGGTTGAATCTTTTAGGAATGACTCTAATTCTTGGCCAAATTATTCGAGTATAACCTGGTTTGGGTCAGTTTACGCTTTATAATCCGCGAAGCGGATTATAAAACAGCGTAAACTGACCCAAACCAGGTTATACTCGAATAATTTGGCCAAGAATTAGAGTCATTCCTTATAATTTAATTTTAAAATCCTTAAATAACTATGGGTGTAAAATTTCGTTGCTTTTTATTAGTTCAAATTTGCCGCTCAATAATACAACCGTAGTAACGGAAGTAACGGAAGTGATGGGAAGCAAGGGGAGGTAAAAACTGATATATAGGCCTAGCAGCTTGTTTACATGTGGTAAGATCGAATTATTGTTTGAAGTTAAAGGTATATTTATTAAATCTGGAATTTTCCATGAATCCCGAGGACTGGAAATGAGAGGATTGTATGCATACAGATGATTCAGCTGGTTGTCAGGGGGGGGGGTGTCCCCATACCAAACCAGGTTATACAGAAATAATTTGTGTTCCTTTTTGGATATTAACCAATCAGAGGCTAGAATACAAACAAAATTAAATTATTTACAGATAATCGTTTTCCAGATTGTCCTCGTCTGATACAGAGTCTCTATCATTCAAATACCGCCTGGGCCATTTACACATACATATGCATGACCCCATTTTGAGATATTTCATGCTTCCTACAACATTTTCACAACTTATTCTGACGTTTTCCAGAGTACAAAGAAAATTTTATAGTCCAAACGGCTGCTCCGTGACGTTCTACGACGTCATCTTTTTTGCCTTTTTCAATAATTACAACCTATCTTCAGAAATTGATTTCTTTTCTATGAAGCAAATTATTTAGTCGTAATTTGGAATATGAAACGATGTAACAATTCTTAATTTGATCGTCTAGATTTATTTTGGTTTTGAGCCATTTTACAGAGGATATGACAACAGACATTAATTAGTGTATTGTTTGTAAATTACTAAATTTTGACTTGTTCCGCGAACCAATTTTCGCAGTCTTTAACTCCTAATACGTTTGAAATAAATAAAGATATTTTACAAATTTTTAATACAAATCATTTGAATTTATTGTTAAAATATTTCTACCAAATTTGGATATAATATGACGTTAAATAAAAAAGATATAACAGAAGTCCACGAACTTTCCGAACAACCCTCGTATATATGAATTACTTTGTGATTCTGAAAATCTGCATGCATATATACTTTGTAGAATGAATTTTAAATAGTTTAATAAGCAGCTGGTAATGTGATTAAGAATTGGATGCTATATTACATGACCCTGTTGCACATATATCTAATTGGTTGGGAGAAAAATGACAGCAAAGACTTTAATTAAGAAATAAAAGAATGCTCTATTCTATTACAATTTTATTAAATTCAAAAAATCTTATCATACAGTTTATCTAAAGTGTACACACAGTGAGATTCTGTATTATAATACTTAAATTATACCACAGATCTTACCATGTGTACCGGCCTTAAGATGAACATAAACAATGTCTTAACCAAGTGTCAGAAGAAGTCACGGAGGTCCCAGAACAAATTAATATCGAAACGAAAATACGGTCTTTGTAGACTTTAGTCTTGGAATTTCCAGTTAAGTTTGAAATACACTCAATTTCACAATCAATAAAAAATGTTAATGTCATGTCTATAAATAATTCAATCCATCAACATGTGGCACTGTATTTTAAACTTAAGAAAAACTTCAATGAAAGATTGAAGTCTACACAGAAGTAATGGTATAATATTTTAGTTCAATATGAAGAGTTTGTCTCGTGGTCACCTTCTATCGGGACTGACCAATGTACTGAGACTTCCTGGTTACTTTACATTAGAGGCATGGCTTCTGTCCAGCTCAGAGAAAACAACGTTACAGCAAATTGTAACCGCGATAGGTAGGTACATGTAGTTTGTTCTGTCCTGTCTATAAATTACATCAGGGATAGTTTTCTTTGCTTCTTATTGTGTTAAGGTATTAAAATGTATAAAAATATTTCCATCAGTTGCATATACTTGCAGTATTTCTTATATAAATTTTAAATTGAAAAATAAACGTGTACCTGATGATCATGATTTATATAAAAATATATATCTTGTATAATAAATAACTACATGTAATGATATTGATAAAAAGCTCGGCTTCCATATCTATTCTCAAAAGATCACTACTACATTTCTCACAGTTTAGATAAAGGAAATACAATAGGCTAAGAAGTCTCTTTATTATATCTGTCTAGCACTTATCCTGGCAGCAGCATTGATACTCCTCCAAAACGGGCACCTGTTCCTCCTGTACAAGTCCTTGATTGGAGGATTTCTTCTTCTGGTGATGTATTTCTACGCTTTAGCCATTATGGACTGGATAGCTGATAGTATAGAAACCAATGACCTCGATATTATCAAGACTTACGTCGCCCTCTATGCCATTGGACTTCTAGTTGTGTATTTATTCCGACACAGGAGATTAAGGAACTCTTTTTTACTGGCTTATACACTAATTACAGTCACCAAACACCTTGGCTTTCGTTTCACTATCAGTCAATATACTCGGTATTGTTTAAATGGGTTGATACTTTCTCACCTAATCCCTCTTGCAGTTGATGTTTTCTACCTTGTCATCAAAATACTGACAAATAAGCTTAAGACATGGGTATATTTAGCAAAGAATTCTTGTATACCTGATCTATATCATTTTATAAAGTCTTTTGTGGATTCTATTGTTTTACCATCACAGCTTTTTTTGTTTTCAATGGTTTCCTTTATATTTAATATTTGTTACTATATGACATGGCCGGTTGATGCAAAAGTTACCCTGTCTCAGTTAGGATGGGTTAAGTTTTTGTCTTTGTGTGCTGGGGAATGCTACAAAACTCCTCTTGGTCTTGTGGCCACGAGTATCGCAATCTCGTATGTATTTTACTACCTCAATGCTATGGTAAATGTTTATCTTTATGGTTTGAGGAAATATTCCACTAGAGATGATTATGTAAACGGCTGGGTGGAGGGACTAGTAGTGTTTCTGATAAGTATCAGATCTGGGATTTTAACTACCTACAACGCCATGGAATACAAGGTTTTACTAAAAAGAGCATTTGTTATTAGAATTACGCTTCTATTCGCTGTGGCGGTGTTCCTTAATGGTACGTATGAAAAATATGATTCTGTTATCTTGTCATTTAGTACATCACTGACAGCAAAACTATTCAAACACTTTCGCGCTCTCCTACTGTATTTTCTTCTCATGATATGTTCTCTCAGCGTTGCTTTCACAATTAGTCAGCTCGTTCATATATCCGTTGGCATCCCAGTAATAATCATTTGCTTATCAACCAGTCTCCAAGTGCTGGCTTCTATTGCAACTTATGGGCTGTTTCTGTATGACGGTGCTCGATCATGTCCTTTAGAAAATCTGGAAGATTCCGTGTACTATATCAGATCTACGGTCAGAGTAATTGATTTTCTGGGTTCTGTTATCCTAGCCTGCACTGGTGTATGGGTCATCAAAACAGAGGGATTAAGTTGGATTCAGACACCAATGCTGATTTTGCACTGTTTTGTCAATGTTTGGCAGCGGTTACAATATGGATGGAAAAGTTTCCTTCAGAGAAGAGAAGCTATGAGAAAAGTTGATTCTTTGGCCTCTGCAACAAAGAAAAAAATCAATGACCATGATGATGTGTGCCCAGTCTGTTTTCATATTATGTCATCAGCAAAGATTACGCCCTGTGGTCATTTCTACCACAGGGCATGTTTAAAGAAGTGGTCATACATTAGGGATTCCTGTCCCCTTTGTTCTCGGAAGATCTTTTTCCAGTAAGAAAGATTTCAGCATGGCTTCCATACAAATATCAAATACCTGAAGACCCCTATCTTTATCTCCAATTGATGTACAGAAAAAAATCAAATGTTAAGAGGCTAAATATTCAGTAACATTATCAAGGAATAATAAAGTCATGAAGAATGAATTACATGAGTGTATAAACTTTATACATGCGCATTTATAGTCACTGTGGTTGTATTTCTATTCTGAAAATAATCCTGTCTTTCAAATTACCTTGAGATAAAGTTTGAAAGGCACACATTTAATCTACTTAATTTTTTAGCCTTTATCATTCTGTTGTAAAGTAAATTCATTTTCAACAAATTCTAAATGTACATCCAATCTTCAGAATTTGACGTATCTTCTGTGTTAGAGTATACAAAGGCATTCATAGCCACCGTGTTTGTATTTCTAGGACCCCGTGATAAACTTTGAATTAAAGTTTTCAAAAACAATGAATAACTTGGCTTTAAGATTTGTTGTTAGCCCTCTTTTCAAATTATATACGTCTTCAACATATTTTTATGTTGTATCCAATGTTGAAAAAAGATTTAATCTGTACCGTTATTTTGTCTTAGCATGTTATGTTTAAAACAAACAGAAAGACAATGTTTAAAGTATTGAGTATTTAAACACTCTTTGTTTTACATGTACATTTTTGATGTATTCCTGTTGTTTCATCAATGGGACATCATTTCAGTGGATTAAGTAAAATCTACAGTTTGGAGAATTCTTCAATTCGTGGATAATGGTCACATAAATAATTTTTTGTCACGGTTTTTTAAAATATCACTATAGCATGCGCGGATCTAGGGGGGGGGGGGGTCCCTGAAATTTGCAGAGTTATCAAAAGTATACATTGAAGCAAATAAAAAATGACTCTGGACCCCCCTGGAAAAAGTGGACCCCACCATCACCATCATGAAGTAGGTGTTTTTGGTGTTTTCACGTTTGGGAAATTGATATTATGTTGTTTTTTTTTTCTTTCTTTCTTTTTCTTTTTTTTTTCTTTTTTTTCTTTTTTTTTTTTTTTTGTCGAGAAAATTTTTGAGTTGGATTTTTTTTTTGACTGGGTGGACCCCCCACCCTTGAAAAAAATCCTTGATCCGCGCCTGATTACAGTATCTATCTTCGTATCCTCTAGCCGTAACCTTCACTACAATAAATAAATTGTTTAAAGGAATTTGGCGAATACTATGTTTTGAAAAAAAAGTCGGAACCATAAGGGAAAATGCTACACACAAACAAAATTGGATGCATGGATTGATATATAGTTTTAGACGTATTTTGGTTGTGAATGACACACACACACATATATATATAGAGAGAGAGAGAGAGAGCACAAAGAAATTCACTTTTACATGAATACCGACTTTCCGCCCAAACCCGGGGTTGAACTCTCGACCTACGGAATCTGTCTCCTCACAGTACAGGAACAGCGTGCTAGACCGCTCGACCATCTAGGCAACTCAAAAACTTGCATTTGATGCCGATGGAATTCTCGCGGCGCTGTCCTATATATATATATATATATATATATATATATATATATATATATATATATATATATATATATATATATATTCATCGCTTTACTACTAAGAAATTGCAGATTGTGAATGTTGTTCAAATGTCTTTCTTTATTGCCTGAGAATTTGGAATTTATTATACTCTGCATTTTAGGTGCATGTCCTGACAATAAATATGGTGATAGGATATTAGAATCCTCCTACGTGTTCATGTTACTCTATAGTTCTGCTGGGCATGACATAACTGGTGACGTGAATATGCTTTATATTGAAAACCTTAAGGACACACACAGTTTGAACTTTATGGTCTTTTTCCCTGGAGTTGAAGAGTTCCAATACTTAAAGGAACTGTGTGCTACATTTTAATGTCTATATATGCTGTTGTACACTTCTTTTAAAACAAGCTTGGACAAACAAAACATCTAGAATATATGTTTAGTAATTTTTGTATATTTTTCTTTGAATTATACAAGAATTTTCATCAATTAATATCTTTTCAAAACTTCTGGTAATGCATACTGATTTTTGGTCCACGAATATCTGATGGCACTATAATCTTAAATTAAAAATATCTTGAAAAATTATCAGTAGGTAAGGTACGTTGCGTATATCCTTAAATCGCTTATTTTAAAAGGGCCAACGTTTAGGGAACCCCGATCTCTTAACTGGGGCTAAAATCTCATAAATATTATGAATTCTGTCGACGCCAGGCGTTGGGCCAATCTTGAAAAAGAAGACCTTGACACTTTGCCAAAATGGAATAAAAGTATTGAATGTTGAATGTTAAACAGCTGAGAGGCAATAATAAAAAAAAATAGATAGATTTATACACGATCATATTACTGGCCCCAGCTGACAAAGCAGGTAACGACATTGTCTTTGTAAGGTTCATTATTATAATTTTATTTTAGAGGAACTTGGAATTAAGTGGTAATCCAATTTATACTCATAGAAAATTTGAAATCACAAAATTATACAAATTCAATAGCATCAAAACCCTCGACTTTTCAATTCTTTATACAATCATTCCCATGTACGATATATTAAAGACCAAGCTTTTTGACATCATAAACACCTGCTTTTTCAGCTAGATACTCGTTGCGAGCAACGAGAAGTCTTCCGAATAATCACCCTTTTATGTGATATTCTTTGCATGTGAAATTAAATTTATATGCTCTTTACTACATCTTAAAATATAACATGCATCTTTAAAAAAAAATACCAGGATTTTAAAGATTTTTTATTTATAAAAATGAAAATAGCCAAGATTTCACAAAGAGAAATAAACGCCAATTTATAAAGAAAACGCAAATTTAAGCTAAAAAATTAGAAAAAATTCCGTTATAGTGAGAATTAAACTCAGATTGCCTGCGTGAAAAATTAATATGGAAACCACAACACCAGCGCAATGCACCAGCCATCATCGATGTTTACCTTGCACTCATTGTCTGACGTAACGAGCGTCAGGCAGGTTAAAAGTTTTCGTTTCATAGTACGGAATTATAGGATAAAAGCTAGCCAGCCAAATTTTGTGCAAGCAGATGCACATCGAAATTTGTTACTTGAGTTTTAACAATAATTGTTAGCAGAAGAAATAATCTGTTACTCATGAAAACTATTGACTTGTTTAATTCCTTTATTCTTTATGCACTCAATTTTTTTTTTATTCCGTGCAATTCCAAATACAGAATGTCCGTGTAACCCTTTTCTGCACTTCTATACTACTGCATCAGTCCATTTGTCTACTATGAAAGGCGGGACACCATACATTATTTCGCGCCAAATGTCACAAGTAGATCTTCGCGCCTTTTCTTTGGAATGTATGTTCTATTGAATGGGTCTGATAGCTTCAATGAAATAAAAAATTATGTTCTTATAGCCTGATTTTCGAGCTTGGTTTTCTTTAAAAAAAAAAAAGTCACGTAAAACTTTCTATAAATATTGATTGCTTTAGTCAGGCAAGCTTCTTGAAAAGCTATTGCTTATAACACAATACTTTTACCGTTATAACGAACAATATAGCCGTAAAAACAATGTGAAAATATATGGAGTCAAAGAAAATAAAAACGAAAATATTTTGCAAATTGCAAAAGAAATGTTGAAAGTAAAGGGAAATGTGGACATCGACGATATTGACATTATTGCTATTCATCGCATACCGGGTAAACAAAAGACCCCAAGACCTATCCTAATAAAATTTAAAAATGCAGACAGAAAAAGCGAAAGTTATGCGACAAAGTTCAAAAGTCAAAGAGTCGGAGGGCAATGTGAGGTTAGGAGATGATGTGACAAGGGAAAACAGCGAACTCATCGCCTAACTTATTGAACATCCAGAGATTACATCAGCTTGGTATTTCAATTGTTCTGTGTATGCCAGTGTGGATGGAAAACGCATGAAGTTTGACATTTTAGACGACATTGATTATAGATTGAAGAACCGGAATTCTCGTGACTAACCGCTATGGACTCCGCATTTATAACGCTCTTCACGATTCCGAATTTGACCGTGAAACGAAAGACAAGCCAATGAATACTCAAGGCACTTGACTTTTGAAAGTAAATTTTATCTGTACACAGTTATTCTAGATATTTTTTGATTGACTATTCTGAGACCTTGGGCTACGGACTATACATATAGTATTTTCATTTAATGAGAGACCGTAGAAAAATAGTTGCTTTTTTCAGTAAATTTTTGTTAAAATTATCATCTTGGAGTTCACAGGTGTTTAATAAATCCTTTCATTTAGATATTAATCAATTTATACTAAATCCTGAAATTTAACAAAATAAAACAAAAACTTTATATAAATTTACAATAAGAGTAAAATATAAATAGTCAGAACAAAATAATACATGTCAGAATTACATGTAATTGGTGTTTTGATATTAAAATATTGTTTAAAACCATCTAAAGACCAAGAATGAGCTTTCCCGTTACTTAAGCATCTAAGAAGGATGAATTTCATGTGAGCATGGGGGCTACGGACTATACCGTTAAACATCTCTATTGTGGACAATCAACTTAAAGAAAATATAATTGTTTAATTAAATTTTGGGCATTTTTTTTTATTAATTGTTTTTCTATATTTGTTCACACCACCTAGTTTGAGTATTTACTAGTATAATAATACCATACTTAAAAATCAATTGTCTAATGTACTATGTACTTTCAATGCCAAATGAAATTCCAGTTCAACTAATTAAAGCATAATTGGTGTTCAAACTATAATGAATAAAAGCAACAGGAGCTGAAATTAAATCAAGGCATGATTTGTGTGTGTGTCGGGTGGGGTGGGGGGTTACGGACTATATTGCTTCATTTTTTTTTCGATTTAATGTAATGCATATAACTCAAAATGGTCATTCAAAAGGTGTATCAGTATATAATTTATCATAATCATATGGTGTAATTCAAAAAAAAAATATAAATTGCAAAACATGATTGACCATTTGCAGTAAAAAACATAA